ACTTCTCTTATAATCTGTTCACCGTATGACTTGTACTAATTAAGTGACATCACATATCCTAGTCTGATACCCTGCAGGGTATTATACCATTCCCTATTGCCATGTTCAGGATATCATACCATTCCATATTGCCATGTTCTAATCTGACTGCTGCTTCTTGACCTCTCTATGGGTTGTGAAAGAACTTGATCAAAAGAGTTGAAAACCCGATAACTGCAATGTTTCCCATAATGAATTATATATAGTATAAGTGAAGGCTTTCACAACGTCAATAAAGCACGTATGTAATAGCTGGTACATTTTTTTGCACCATTTAATCACATTCCCAGTGTTGAAAATTTGATATCTAGTTCCCCTTCCGGCTGTGACATCTCTACTTTTATACTTAATGGTTATTGCCTTTAGGAGGATTAATCTTGGATAACAGTTCTATAAACAATTGTAGATCTGCCCTCTACTAATCATCTGGTCATTCTCTTGTGTGTCATATTTCGTTTCAGCTCTTATGTAGAACTATGACACCTTCATCACCAGTGTTTTCAAATTTTCTGCAAGGATTCCATCAAAGACTTCTAACTTAGCAAATTAATGTAGAGTTTTAGCGATTTATTCTCGTATTATTTAATGTTGGTTCTTTCTCGTCTGTTATTATCTTAGTCTCAGTTGGTGCCTCGTTGTCTGATGAAGAAAATATGTCTTCTCAGTACTCTTTCCGTCGTCTTTGAATGACCTCATTCTTCATCAGGACTGTACCGTTTTTTCAGTTTTATTCTGCTGCTTCTTGAAGTGTACTGCTTAAAGGTATGGTTTAGTTCATGAATGGGAATATAGATAATAGATGCTTAGATGAAGAACAGTCTGCAACAGCATAACTCCTCGTTGGAAGAGGTATCACTATCTACGTGTCTTGGGATACGGAATATTATTAATAGTTTTATCTCTGTACCTCCTTTTTTTCCATCCACCTGGGTACGATTTAAAGTGAAAAAGTGGGAACTAAGGCACTCATAGCTATTGTAGTCTTTGCCACCACAAAAAGCACATCCCAAATTACCCTGGCAAGATATTTTAGAATAATACGGGCTGTTTTTGCAATTCAGTTAGCCTGCCTTGACATTGGCAGGTAGGCGTGGGGTTGTAAAGGTTAAAATCAGAACCCTCAAATATTATTTGATTAGAGATGGACAAATTCGGTGATGTAACTTGTAATTCACGCATTATGCTATAGAGCTGGATATTTCACACATTAATTATAGTATTAAGTACTTCATACAATAATTATAGGAATGGATATTTCACACGTTAGCTTTAGAACTGAGTATTTCAACACATAACTATTGTAATTAACACTTGACATATTAACTATAGTAATAGATACTTTACATATTAATCATAGAAGTGGGTACCTCACAAGTTAATTATAGTATGGATACTTCACAGATTAACTATATTTATATATATATGACACACTAGCTGTAGCTAGTAGTATTTCACACATTAATTATAGTAATGGGTATTTTCCATATTAAGCATAGTAATGGGTGTTTAACACATTAACTATAGTATTAGGTATTCAACACATCAATGATAGTAATAGATATTTCACATATTAGCTATGGTAATGTGTACTTTACACATTATCCATATTAACAGATACTTGACTCATGAAATATAACTATGAGAATTTCAAACATTAATGTTTTTGTTGTTTTTTACAGATTCCTGGATATGGGTTTGGAATAGCAGTAAGTGGCGGCCGAGACAATCCTCACTTTGCTACTAGAGACCCGTCTATTATTATTTCAGATGTCTTGAAAGCTGGACCTGCAGAAGGGAGGTTGCAGTAAGTAGTTTGTATTTAAAATTAGTAATTTAACTTTTAATGATATTTTAGATTTCCTAGCAAGATTGTCTTGAAACATTACAAGTGGTTTTCTAAAAATTTTACAGTTGTTTTTCTTTCACTCAATCAGTTTAAATATATATATGTATATCCTGATAGGAAGAATTCTTCAATTATACAGTGAAAGAGATATAATACAAAGAGATGTTTCTAGAAATAAAAGATCAAATGCCTTGATGATTCTTAATTCTTTGGATGCAAATAAAATCATTATTTATTTTCTAGTATTAGGTCTCTTTCACTAGTAGTAACTTTCTTTAAATAAAGATATACACTAATACATGTTATTATATATGGTTTAGTTAGGGTTGAGGTCTAACTCTACTTTTAGAAATGAAATTACTCACCTTCAATTGTACTTTGTCTAAATTTGTACTTTGTCTAATGGTTTTTTAAATTATCCATCTGGTTAACACTATCATCATACCTGATCTTTCCATGAAGAAATGGTATGAACTAAATAATTATAAAAGAAAGAACTACTTTTAAGTGATAAAAATTTCCATAGAATGATAAATCAGTGAACGAAATGTATGTTAAACTTTGACAATAAAAACAGTTTATAATGATAAGCATAAAGTAGTTTCAGAAAAATGTCAAGCATAATAAATTTTAAATAATCAGATGAAAGAGGTCCTCTTTCATTGACATAGAAACATCTAAAAAATGTTGAATAATTTATAGGGTGAATGACAGAGTCATTAGTGCAAATGGAATCTCACTAGAAAATGTAGATTATTCAACAGCTGTCCAGATTCTTAAAGACTGTGGGAACATGGTTAACTTGGTAAGGAAACATTTATATAAAATCTTATTTTAAAATGTATGCTGTTATACACATTGTTAGTCCAAATCTTCTTATTCATACTTGCTAGTAAACTGATGATGTATATTTAAGTTCAAATATTATACGTTTTGAGAATGGTATTTTATTTTGGTGTGCTATTGTTTTTGGCCAATCATTATATAAATAATTACTCACAGATCTTTGCTAGAAATGGTTTTTGTTATATATAGAAAGTCCAGAAGAACTGTCCGTTCTTGAAGATAACATTTTCTCCTAGTTTTCAGTGGGAATTGATAAGTAAATAGTTTAATATTAAATCACAACAAAACCGATAGGAAGTTTAATCACACCATTCTTTACTGACCCAGTGCACTTTCCTATTAAGGCTAGTGTGGAATAAACGTTTTATGTACACCTTTTGTGTCTTACACAGGGTCCTTTCTCTCTATATCAGAACATCCAAAGTGAGCTGAGCCACAACATACAAATTTTTAGTTACACCGCTATTCATGCCAGTCTTCTACTAAATAACGAGTCTAATTAAACTGAAAAATCATGAGTATCAACTCAAGTATTACATACAGAAAAGTCGGAAACTAAAGAAACTAGCCTGATGAGCTCTGAAAGTGATACAACAAACAAGATATAGTTAAAATAGGGGTAATATAACGTGTGGTCTACACAGATATTTACACTATAGCGTGTGGTCTACAAAGATATTTACACTATAGCGTGTGGTCTACAAAGATATTTACACTATAGCGTGTGGTCTACAAAGATATTTACACTGTAGCATGTGGTCTACAAAGATATTTACACTATAGCATGTGGTCTACAAAGATATTTACACTATAGCGTGTGGTCTACACAGATCCTGTCATCATCACCGTTTTAACTTTCGTTTATTTGCAATTAGCACCATTTATTATAAATAATGCTTTTAAACTAATAAAGTACAAAATACCATTAAATAACGTTTTGGGAGCAAATATAATCGGAATGAAATAAATTCCAAAAATCAAAACTAGCACAGTTATAACCTAAATTTAAGGTACTCTTTTGGAACACACAACTTATCAAATTATTATTATTTGCTGAACAAAAACGTGGATAAATATAAATTATTTAGCAAGAGATTATGTTTTAGTGAATCATTAAAATGGTGATAATGATAGAATCTGGGTAGACCACACACTGTAGTAGCACTGTTAAAATATTATTATACATTCATTTCAATGGAAACTAGTATGTAGAAGATAATAAAAAATGATGCAGTTACATTTATTAGTAGTCTTATTGTTAGGAAATATCATACTTCACTCATTAATAAATAGGATATCATATATATTACCAGCTTTGACGTAGACCTGATGTGTACATACTGTTTGTGTGTGGTTTACCAGGAAGGCATCTTGTATAGTGACAAGTGACCTATACTATAAGATTGGTCATTTGAACTATGTTATAACTGTCCTTATAGAAACTGTAATATTAGTAAAACGTATAGTATAACAATTAGCTAGCAATCTATATCATTACAACAAAAGGAACTCCCATTATTACCATTAACATCTGTTCTTTACAGTTAAGCATATAAGAATAAATTGACATATTGAAGAAATTATAACCATCATATTGCTAATGAAAATCAGCTTTATAGCTCATGTAAATTTTATCTCCCTAGGAAATAATGCGGAGAGTTGTTCTTCCAAACACCAAAGAAGACACACAAACACTGAAGATTACCTTAACAAAAAACAAGAAAAAAGAAGGTAGTTGAATTGTATACATTAAGAAATGTTAAAGCAGGAAAGGGAAAGTGGTGGAATTATATGTGTTAAGAAATTTTAAAACAGAAAAGGAAAAGTAATGTAATTATATGTGTTAAGCAGTATTAAAACAGAAACAGGAAGTTAGTGGAATTGTATGGATAAGCAATATCAAAACAGAAAAGACTAACTGTAAGCACAACTTCCTACTGGAAATATCAAAAAGAAAACATTTCAGCAGTATTTATCTTAAAACCTCTTGATTAAATTTTTCTACATACTAAAACTTCTTTCTGTACATATTAAATAAACACCATGGGTTTACATTCTATAAAATACCATTCCAATCAATCGGAGACTCTAGACCATTAAACATTATAGATTACCAGTCAGTCTATCATGCATTCATAATCAAATAGCTTACATTACAGTTCTAGTCAATCACAGAGTTTAATTCATTAAACCTATTAGATCATCTGACAGTTTAGTCTTTTAATGGATCAGATCCATTAGTTTAGAATACTGATCGTTCCTGTTCATCACATCTCACAGTTAGGTCCATCAGTCCAAGTTATCACAGTTATCTGTAAAGTCTATTGGTCTAGATTACAGATCAGTCCAGATCATCAATGCTGGCAGTTAAGTCCATTAGTGCAATCTCTAGCACAGATTTTTACATCTGTAAAATTTCATCATGCAATCTGAGCTTAGATAATCAGTCTAAATCACCAACTAATTATACAAAATAGCCCATCATGCAGTTTATACCATAAGAGGGTCTATCTCATTCTACAATCCAGTCCAACACAAAATCTAGATGTTCAAATAAAATGGTTCATTATGCAATTTTGACTTTCAAAGAGTCTATATCATTCTAAAATCCAGTCCATCTGAAAGTTTAGATGTTTAAATAAGGTCATTCAATTTTGACCTTCAGACAGCTTTTTTTCGTAAAATTTAATCAATCAGAAAAATTAATCTGTTAATAGTCTGGACAATGAGACCCTATTCAATGAAACAGTCTAATCACTCAGATGGTAACATCATCATCAATTTATAGTTTGGACAATGAGACCCAAGAGTCAAAGCCATCAAACTGTCTTAACTGTATATTCTATGAGATAATCTTAACCATTTGACTGTCTAGCTCATCAATGCAGACTAAACCACAGCAAAATAAGATCATGATATAATGCTGCTATTAGAACAGTATAATTCATCAAAGTGTAATCATCATTCTACTATACCAGACAGGTTAATTTATCAAGTAAGTCAAACCATTAATTTGAATCATATGTTGACAAAATATTTCAATTTTCTAAAATTTTCAAATGTTTTAAGCTATAACTTTATTGTTGGTTTGTTGTTTTACTTGATGCATGCTGATTTTGTTTGTATTCCCACTCTTCAGTCATATATAGTGAAGGATAAAGATAGCCACTTTATACTCTATGTTTTACCCATTAATAACAAATTGCTTGTCTTTATATATATATATATACATGTGTGTGTATGTATTTGTGTAAATATACATACATTTATTTTTACAATGTTTCTTAGAAGACAATTTACAAACATTTTCTAAAAAACTATTGCAAATTTTAATCAAGATAACCATATTTGTTATATAAGTGAATAAGTAGAATTATGTTAATCTGAAACATAACATTGCACATTTTAATCATCACATGTTATATAAATCAACAAACATAAATCATGCCAATCTGAAACATAACATTGCACATTTTAATCATCACATGTTATATAAATCAACAGACATAAATCATGCCAATCTGAAACATAACATTGTACATTTTAATCATCACATGTTATATAAATCAACAGACATAAATCATGCCAATCTGAAACATAACATTGTACATTTTAATCATCACATGTTATATAAATCAACAGACATAAGTCATGCTAATATGAAACATAACATTGCACATTTTAATCATCACATGTTATATAAATCAACAGACATAAATCATGCTAATCTGAAACATAACATTGTACATTTTAATCATCACATGTCATATAAATCAACAGACATAAGTCATGCTAATATGAAACATAACGTTGAACATTTTAATCATCACATCCACGTGTTATTATATAAATCAACAGACATAAGTCATGCTAATATGAAACATAACATTGCACATTTTAATCATCACATGTTATATAAATCAACAGACATAAGTCATGCTAATCTGAAACATAACATTGTATATTTTAATCATCACATGTTATATAAATCAACAGACATAAGTCATGCTAATATGAAACATAATGTTGAACATTTTAATCATCACATCTATGTGTTATTATATAAATCAACAGACATAAGTCATGCTAATATGAAACATAACGTTGAACATTTTAATCATCACATCCATAAGTTGTTATATAAGTGAATAGATAGAATTATAATCACCTGAAACATAACTTTGAAATTTCAAACATATTTTAGTAGTAGTACTTTTCTGTAAACTTTGTTAGTTTCCAGCTAGTTTGTGGACTATCATTTATTTTAAGTGACTTTCATTTTTCATGACAGATTTTGGAATTGTTCTGGGCTGTAAAATTTACATTAAAGAACTCACCAAACGACTTCCAGCAGGAAAAGATGGCTCTCTTCAAGAAGGGGATATTTTGGTTAAGGTAGGGAAATGAATGTAAGGTGACAGATTAACATTTTTTCAAGTAAAAGTCATTATGCAATTTATTTAAGCTAACTTAAAACTCCTCGTTATGTAGTGAGCAAATATTTTAAAGTGGAAATTCTACTTCAGATTAACAACAACAACACTGAACAGCTCAGTGTTAAAGAAGCAAAAAAACTGATTGATTCTGCCAAGGAGAAACTACATCTGATTGTAAAAAGGGAAAGTAACAAGAATGAAACAAAAATCAACAATTTTCAAGCAATGGAGAACAAAGGTAATATATTACATTCTAAAATCTGACATTGTTTAATTACATTTTATTTCATTCCTGTAAATGAACAGAAGTTATTATAAAGAAAAGGGCACAAGTTGGCCCTGTGGTAGTACTCTTGATGTTGGAACTTGCAAGCCAGTTTCAAATTCGTATGTTACCACTAAATATTACACACACTTTAAAAATGTGGGTGCATTATAAGAGTTAGTTTTTTAGTGAGGATGAAGGGTTTTAGGGAGCTAGTGACTGGCTGCCTTCCTTCTGGACAAAAGTTCAAAATTTAGAACAAAGGCAGATAGGATTTGTAGCTTTGATGAATAGAAAATACAAATTTGTTTAGAAACAAAAAGCATTTTATAATATATTGTAACAGTTGTTTTAAACTTTTAGCTAGAAAATTCAGGCATAAAATTTTTCAACTTATACTCTTAGTTCTGTGTGTATTAGATAAATTGGCTGTAGCTCTATTTCAATTCTGCAGTTGTTGCTCACCCAAATGATAAATGATATGTTAATCCAATTGTTTGGAAACTTTCTATATAACTTCATAATGATAACCCTGGGGGGGGGGGGGAGTTTCATTTTTAAGAGTTTACACTATTAAAAATATTTGAGAAATTGGAATTTTTTTGTAAACAATTTTGTTTCTAATTCTCATGGAGTTGGCAAAGACTTAACTCTAGTTTACACCATATCTCAGGTTTTAGTTAACATTGATTTGTTTGGTGAAGAATAATTAAACTTTTCCATATCCACCTTTAGTTAAGAAGACTCGTGAAATATTTCTGTCTCAAAGTTTGTTTATAAAAGGTGGACTTAAAACGCATATTTTTGCTTACTTATCTTATTACCCTACATATAAAGTGGTAGGTTTCTCTTCTATGCAGTAAGAACAGTGATTGTTCTACTGTGTATTATATATTTTACACATAAGGTGGTAGGTTTGTCCTTTATTGAGTAAAACTCTGTGTATTGTTAAGTATTCTACCCTAAAGGTGGTAGCTGTCTTCTATTCAGCAACAAGACATAGTTATGCTTTGTTGATTTTCATTGTTGTTAGAAGATAGTAAGTGTGATGTCAAATGAAGTGAGTTTTTCTCCATGTTGTTGTCAGTTATACCAAAAAGATAATGCTCTTAATAAATGTTTTGTTTTTAGAGCACTCACTTTATGTGCTAGTATGAAAACATACACGTTTTTTCTAATAAAGATTTAGGTTTTTATCTTCCTAAAAAAACTGATATAATTTAATATCTAAAATTTAATTTGATAATAAGCTGTAATACTATGTAGCATAATTGTTAATTGCAAACTTAACTTATGTAATTCTCATTATTCACTACCTTCAGATTCTTCTGAAATTAATTTTATCAATGTCAGCAGTACAAAACCTCAATGGAGTAACCAAAACTTGTATGTACAGCCACCAACACCAGGTTAGTCTCAGTGATGATGTCCATCACATTAATAATTTTATTAGCTAGTGTTAATAGACACATTACGTTGTGGTATTTATTCTGACATATTATACTGTGTATTAAATCTATATAATGAGAATATTATTAGAGATGTTGAGCCGCGGCTGAGTGGCTCATAAAACGGTTCTGAGTTTATTTGTATTTTTAAGTACAAACTTTTAACTCATAGCTTAGTCATCTATTGGCCGATTGGAGATCTAATTATAGTTTTGGACTCAGGAGGTCAATCCCTTTCAATTGATGTAGTTGACCACACAAAAGGTCTCATATATTAACTTATTCTAATCTTGCCTAAAAGAAATTCTGTCCTGATGAGTAATAACATCGAATAGGGTATACGTGCGCCCCACGCTTGGTATTGTTGGCACACAGTAATATAGCTACTAAAAAAGGAAAGCAAAGGTCTTATAGATTAATTTACTCTAATTCTGCCTAAAAGAATTTCAAGTGCCGAGACTATTGAGGATTTCTTCTTGTTATACTTTTCAACAGTAAATATGTCATTATTTTCTGCTGCTTATATTTTTCATGCATGCCATGATTATTCCATATAAATATAGAAAAATTTTGTTCAAAATGTAATTTCTTATAATGAAATATACGTCTATTTTTCTTTGGTATAAAATCAAACACGTATAATGAGCAGTTAGTCCATCAATTTCTTTTTAAAAAATAATTGAAATTAAACGAAAGAAGAAGGTAACCTTATGACTAATCCAATAAAGATAATATGTTGATATATACTTTAATAAGTTATTTTCACTTAGAAATAGCAACTTTAATAACTTATTTTCACTTCATGTCTACTTACAAATAGCGACTTTATTAAATAGAATGCCCCCCAGTGGCATACCGGTATGTCTGTGGTCTTGCAACGCTAGAAACCGGGTTTCGATACCCGTGGTTGGCAGAGCACAGATAGTCCAATGTGTAGCTTTGTGCTTAATTACAAAAAACAAAACAAATTAAATATAAAAGCACTTAAAGTCATTTGTTTGAAGCATAAAGTGTTTACGCTTTGCTATTATTTGCTGTTATGTATAACTGGTTCCCACACTTTTAGAAGTGTTTCTTTTGGGTTATTTTTTATAGATGTAGTCTATGAGTTTACTGAGAATCATTTCTCTTTGCAGAGACTTATAATGGGTAGTATTCTTGGTATTTGTTACAGCTGTACAAAATCTCTTAATAAAATGTTACTTTCCAATTCTTCTCATGTTTCCATTTCTTTGACATAGAAATTATCATAAATTTGATAATAATTACTTTATTCTTTCTTTCATCTTGCCTTACATTTTGTCTTATTCTAAAGTACTTATACATTTGCTATTGACATAAACTTTAATTAAACATTCTGTCTAGGCCTTATGCCTTTCATCTTTACTTAAACTAACGTACTTATGTATTTACTATTGATAAAGAATTTAATTAAACATTCTGTTTAGGCCTTGTTCTCATTATTTATGACAATCTTTTTATAAAAGTACTAAACGTTTTAAAATATGATATTCAAAATAGAACACTTGCTAAAAATATGCTTTCATTCCCTTTATGTTCTGAGTATATGAGTACCTTAGCCAGGTATTTTGTAGTATATAAACATGACTGTTGCTTTGTATATGTATATATGTGTGTGTGTAATATTTTCAGGTGATTTTAGAACATTCCCTTTACGCTCCGAGTATAAAAATACCTTAGCCAGGTAAAGTATTTTTCTGTTTTACTTTATTGTCATTCATTATTTTTATACATTACCAGATCATATATTAAACTGTGCTATCAGGGGCTAGGTGAAATCGAATAAGTCTAAGAATTTATCATACCCTGTAAATATGAACTGAAATGTTTGAATCTTTTTGAGCCCCCCCCCCCAGTGGCACAGCGGTATGTCTATGGACTTACAAACCGGGTTTTGATACCAGTGGTGGGCAGAGCACAGATAGCCCATTGTGTAGCTTAGTGCTTAACTTCAAACAAAACAAAAAAAACTTTTAGAAATACATATAAGACATTATGTATTTATTAATACATATGTATTAATGTATTTATACCATCAGTTTTAGAAATATGTATAAAACATATCAATAAGGTTTTATTTCTTCATGTTTAACATATTACATCATTACTTTTAGAAATGCATATAAAACATATCAATAATGTATTATTTCTTCATAATTCATACATATATTTTTCCAAATTTCTAACTTGGAACATACTAACTTTGATTAAGGTCGTGTGTGTTCCAACTTGGAACATACTACACATTTATTTTTCTAAATTTCTAACCTGGAATATGCTAACTCTGGTTAAGGTCATATGGGCTCTAACTTGGAACATACTAACTCTGGTTAAGGTCGAGTGGGTTCTAACTTGGAACACCTATATAAATAATACGTGCGTTTATCTATCCGAAACTTTTCTTGCAAATTTCTCCATGAAACCCTACAAATCTCATATCGTTAGAAGGCCTTTGTCCGAGGAGTCTGGATTACATATTGGCTTTTCAACTCAGAATCACCTCATCTATTTTTTGTTTAGTACATGATGACACAATGTATTTGTCGTTACAATGTATTTGCAATTTACTTCACACAAACAACATTTAACTCGCATGTAATTTCCTAAAAAAAATTAATATTATACTAAATAACATTTTTATGCGCAGTTCATTCAAAACCATATCCTTATCAATTTAGGAACATGCATTCAGACGTTTCTGCATATATAGCTACGTTTCCCTTCATTACAACTTTACGCTTATTTTACTTTGCAATAATTTAGCTTCGGTTCATTTCATAGACTCCTATAAACACCTTTTAGCTACATTTTTCTTTACTACTGGTTATATTCTTCATTTTTGTGAGTTTCTTTATTTCAACTCATAAAACTGTGTCATACCCTGAACGTTCATAACTGATTCATACTCTGTACACTAGTATAAATACTGTTACTTTATTATTTTTTTTACATGTAGATTTTTTAAATAAAGTCACGTAGGTATACTTTTATTAGATAAAGTTACGTCTGTGTGAATTCATTTGTCTGATCCCATAAAATTATTTTCAAATAGATAAGGACTTATCGATCTAACACATAATGCCTGCAAGAAAGCATAGCTTATGGCGTGCGTGAAAATGATAGAACAATTAAAATTCAAGGCTAAGGGCATGAAAACTACTGAAAATGTTTTGTGGGTTGCCACTAGTACTATATGTTTATTATTTTTCTAAAGTCCTTACTTGCAACATACTAACCCTTGTTAAGGTCGTGTGGGTTTTAACTTGGAACATACTAAACACTAATTTTTCTAGAGTTCTAATTTGAAACATACTATCCATATTGTTACGACAGCGGAAGTCATGTGACACTGGAAGCATGCCCGCTGGAGTTTCTAAAAGTATCATGACTGTTCCTCGCAACTCTAATCTTTTCTAGGTGCCCTCTATTTTAGTATATAAGCCCGGCAAATAAAGCGGAGAGGAGAAATGAATGGCATAAATAATTGCAGATAGATGGAGATATAGAGACAGTCGAGTGAAGCGAGCAGTAGGCACCGTAAGTAAAGTGTGTGAATCGCTGTGAATTATAGCATGTGTTTATAAAAGTAGTTAAGTTTAAAGTGATTGTGGAAATTAAGTGTATTACAAAGTTTGTAACGAGAAAGAATAAACTAGTTTTAATTAAGAAAGAACTCGTATCACTGAAGTTTCTCGGGAATATTTTTTTTTACGGGAAATTAACAGACGACCAGATACGCAACAATATATTATTCTAAATGTTTAGCTTGGATCATACTAAATCTGGTTAAGGTTATGGAAAACTGCAACTCTATATATTACTTTCTCTGGCATTAATTAGGCAAGCATGAACATTATCTGTTGTTTCTTGTTGTATTATGTCATACATTACTTTTAATGGGGTAGTTGTATTATGTACTACATTACTTTTCATGGGTAGTTATATTATATGCTACATTACTTTTCATGGGGTAGTTGTATTATATCTTACATTACTGTTCATGGGGTAGTTGTATTATATACAACATTACTTTTCATGGGGTAGTTGTATTATATACAACATTACTTTTCATGGGGTAGTTGTATTATATACTACATTACTTTTCATAGTGTAGTTGTATTACGTCTTACATTACTTTTCATGGGGTAGTTGTATTATGTCTTACATTACTTTTCATGGGGTAGATGTATTATATTGTTACGTCTCTGTTCGTTTGTTAATTTTCTGTAGAAATTCTTTCCCAGAAACTTCAGCGATACAAGTCCTTTCTTAAATAAAACTAGTTTATTCTTCCTCAATACGACTTTGCAATACACAGAATTTCCACAGTCATTTTAACTTAAACACACGCTATAATTCACAACAATTTACAGACTTTACTTATGACTTGACTAGATTATCTGTCTCAATCTTCCTGTCTGTTATTCAATTATTCTCTCCCGTCACTTTATTTGTCGGCTTATATACTAAAAGAGTGCGTGTCTAGCAAACACTCGAGCCTTCAGGAAGGTTCGAGATACTCATTACGTGTTACAAGCATCATGTGACTTCCTCTGTCATAACAATATCTTACATTTCTATTCATGGGGTAGTTGTATTACGTCTTACATTACTTTGCGTTTGTAGAAACACTCTGGGACCATTATAGAGGCCCCCAGTGGTACAGTGGTATGTCTACAGACTTAACATAACATAGTATTTTGGGACAACATAGGACCTATTAGTCCATCTCGGCTGTTCCATCCTTAAAACTAAATTAAAATGATTAAAAAAATAATAATAACAATAGAATGTTAAATCCTACCCTTTGCATTCATATACTTATCAAGCTTTTTCTTAAACTCACTTAAATGTACTGCCACTACAACATCTGAAGGCAACACATTCCAAA